GTTCTTGTTGCTTTCTTGCGCTGGGTTTCTACTGTCTTTTTTTGTGTGTGAACCCACACCCTGTTCAGGTGGACCTTAAAGATCTCCTGTCATCACTGTGAAAGAGAAGGGAGCTTTTCTCTCTCTCCGTTTCCTGGCCAACAATCACCCAGATAAATCCAGCGGAATTTAGACCCTGTCACATTAGTCAAAAACACATTTCTGCTGAGCGAGAGTTTAATTCAATCAGAAATCTAAAGGTAAATCCTTACTACATATATTTCGCCCACAAAATATACAGTAGTATATCCCGTGAAGCGCTTTGAGACTTCCTGCAGAGACGTGATAATATCATCGTGATGATATCAATTGCAAGGATTATTATCGTCGTTATTATTGCATTTCTGTAACATAAAAAAACTGCAGTCTTCCGCTGTCCGTTCTGACAGCGAGAAACAAGGATCAGAGAATCGGAGAAGCGAATCTTGGAAAAGAAAGGGGAACGGTTGGTAAACGGACAACACATTTTATCAAATCAGTGCCGTTATTTCATACGGCGTTGTGAGTGCAGCGTCATGTAGCAATTGGGTAATCGACTATTCTGACTGAACCTCTTATCGATTGTCCTTCCAGTGAGTGGGTGTACCTTTCGTTTGCAATGGACGCCTTAGCAACAGCCTGCACTATTCAGAGCTGCCAAACCAAACATTTTACTGCCGTGTGAATAAAGCCGCTCTCATCTGATGGCGTGTTATCTGGTGCAATCCCAAATCTGTCAGGCTAACTTGTGACCGAGCAGAATAGGCGGCTTGCGAGCGCAAACCTAAGTATAATTCTCCGTACCGATCGTCAGTCACGAACACGGTCATTCACTCGCTCCGCGGCTGCTTTGCGGGGGCCTTGCCCAGGGCAAAACCGGCTGCCGCCCCCGCCTAGGAATACACGCAGTCGCGAGCAGGCTCGACGGAAAACTCCGCGAAGCCCACGGAGATGTTTTGACGTGACTCGTGGGGCGCCACATCAGAAGCAAACGGATCGTTTTGTCAATTGACATCGAGACAGCAATCATCAAACACTGCGTCGTTCTCACTCCACTCCAGTCCTCGCTAATTTGACACGAAGAAGAGAGAGAGGAACTAGCAGGAGTCTGGAGAGAGCCCTGTAAGAACAGTTCTTGCCGACACTTTAGCGCAGCCTGGAAACAATTAGCGATTTAGACAGATGGAGGAAATTTGAGACATTATAAAGAGGTTTAAATATTTTGCCTTTGCTCTGATGGTGGAGGCTGGTGCTCAGATCAGTGTATAAGGTCTGCGCCAACAGTGGGGATGTACCAGGAGATGGCATTAGCTGAACAATCTAGCCATAGGCATCTCTGACATCTCAGGGTTACCTTGACAACTGGTTGCACTTTTCTTTATATATAATTAATGATGGAACGAGATGTATTATTCTAGATTTCGCTTCTGTTGTCCTTTTTTATATTATTATTATTTTAACTAAAAAGCATGCTTATTTCCTGTCAGAATTCATATAAAAAAAAACAACAGATGTCAAACACAAGGTTCAAATAAAGTTTGAGCCATGACCGGAAATCAGCCCGTAACCCTCCGAATCAGAGGCAGAGCCTGTGCTCTGTATCACGGCAAAAGACTTGTAGTTCAGCCTCTCTGCCCCCCACCCTTTGGAACTCCATCCCACAGTCCCTTCCCCTCGCTCCCTCCCTCACCTCCTTCAAGACACGTCGCAAGACCCTCCCCTTCGACTGCGCCTTCGGCCACCCTCCTACCCCCACCCTCCCCGCCCTCCACCCTCCTGATCTCAACCCCCATCCCTGACTGTCCAGCCCAGTGCCTTGGGACGTCCTCCCCGATGTGAAAGGCGCTGCGTAAGTGTAATTTGTTGCTGTCTTCTCCGAGGACCTGAGCTTGAATCTCTCTGAGGTTCAGGAGCAAAGTTCACTAACAGTCAGGCTCTCGATATCATTTCCCTGGTCAAGTGGAGAAGACACGTTACAAGAAGACGATAACAATAATAATCCTCGCATTTGATTCAGCGCCTCATCACGTCTTCGAGTCGTCTCAAAGTGCTTCACAGGCTGTACCGTCAAGCGAATTGACTGCGTATTTTGTGGGTGAAACACGGCAGCCGATTGCGCACAGCAGATCATTCCATTAGAAGCGCAGGCTGTCTATGTCACCACAGACAGTGCAATATCACTGCCGAATTTTAATAAGGTATTCAGTACTTACTGGAATTTCAAATATTTGTCATTAAGAATTTAGAATAGAGCTTGGGGTTAGTTTTAATGGCCGAACTGAAGGAAATTGATTAAAACGGTTGCACTGGAGACCTGTTTTACAGGCAATGTTCATGTCATGTCTGACTCAACATAGACCTACCTGCTGTTTCAACCGTCTGGTGATAAGTGAATCATGTCGGGAATGTGTTTAACCGACAGAGAGTTTTCTCATGCAGGTTGAAGTCTGAAACATTTGCAATTGGAAATGGCAGTAGAGAGTTTGTGGCAATAAAGGCATGATATCAAATGCAAGGATTATTATTACTATTATGATTAAAGGGTTTTATGTGACCTTATTTCACAAATGTAATTAATTGCTGCTGAGATCTATGGGTGGGAATTTCTTTCCATGGAAAACCATTAACTCATCTCAGATATATGAAATATTGCCTCGTGCCAAACCTCAAAGCTAACTTTCAGAAAACAAGTGGAATGAAACATTCTTTCATTGCATAAGTTGTTTATCCAAATTACCATTCCATGGTATTACATGAAATAATCCTCACATTGATTAATAATGGTATAATAGATAATAATCTTTACATTTGACACTGAACCTTTTCCTTCTGGAGGACGTTCTCAAAGCGCTTCACAGGATGTTACTGCAAAGTGTAGTGACTGTGTATTTGTAGGCAAACCCAATTCGACTGCACACAACAACAGCGTTTATATATATATATATTTATATATATTATATAGCATCCTTCACACAGGGTCTTGCAGTGCTGAATCCAAAAGGATAAAGGAGTTTCTCTTGTTGGCAAAGCTATAAAGGTGGAATCATTCGGAGTGTTTAAAAGAGAGATGGACAGATATTTGAGTTGTAGATGTATTAACCAAATATGGTGAAGGATGGGCAGCACTGGGATTAAAAATTCTACTAGACTGGTGGAAAAGGCTCGAAGGGCTGAATTGCCTCCTCTTGTTGTTTTCCTCTGATACAGCGCCTTATCATGTCTTCGAGACGTCTCAAAGCGCTTCACAGGATACACTGTAAAGTGAATTGGCAACACCTCCACTGACTTATATACTCCATTGTGCTGTTCTGTCTCTTGCAGCTGATTCCCATGAAGTCAAATGAGTCACAGACTGTGTTTACACTTCACCAGAAATGCCAAACCTGCATGCGACTGAATGACACCGTCTTGAACTCGGATGGTAAGTAGTGGAAGGGTCAGAGGCTAAATGTCTGTTTACTTTAATTCCTCTGAGCTTTGGTTCATTCCGCTTTCATTAAAATCAGATGAAAAAGCCGGAACGAGTGAGTTTCGAGGTCGGATGTGGTTCAGATATTTGAATGACTGACAGAGGCCGATTGACAACAATTGCTTATGGATGCCAGGTTATGTGACCATGGAGAAGCAGCCAATTTAGAGCCAAGGTCCCGTCTGCCTGTCCGGGTGGACGTTAAAGATCCCACGGTGCGATTGGAAAAGAGAAAGGAGTTTCTCTCTCCCGCCCTGGAGTCCCGACCAACCATCTCCCCACAGAAAATTGGTCATTCACGTCATGGCTATTGGTTGGGAACTTCCTAATTGGCTGTCACATTGGCTTGCAAAATACACATGGTCACTACACTACACAATCCATTCCCAGAAGCGTTTGAGGCATTCTTCCAGCGTGAAAAGCGCTGGATCAAATGCAAAGAAGAGGAAGTATCTCTGCTCTTTGAAATCTGACGTTTGTACATTTCGCGTGGGTCAAATGGTGTCTCACTCACTCACCCTGTTTTGCACTGAAACTGCGGGTGGAATTCAAAGCAAACTGTGAATTGGTGGTTGGAGGATGTAACTGTAAATGGGGCCGATTAAGTGTCAGAATGAATTAAGTATTAATGGACGCACATGGAGCGGCTTGCCAAGCCGAGGATCGCTTGAACAACTGAAGGACGAGAGCAAAAGGTTAAGTCTCAGTCATCGAAGTTACTCTCAATTTGACAAGACAGCACACATGCAACTCTATTATTGCTATTCAATTGCGTCTTCAATCTGTTTAATTTCTCCTTCTTCACTTTGGATCAATGTACTTACAGAACCATTGAACCATTGGTATAGCCTTTAGCTGTAGCTGTTTGTGAATCACTTATTATGGCTTCTCGGTGACCAGCTCACTACAGTCACCACGTGATCAACCTCAACTGACTAATCGGTCGTTAGTCCATTGGCGGATCGCTTTTCCGCCGGTAATAATCCCTTCACACAAACAATAATAATAATTCGGTCACGCAATCCACGACTGTGTGTGGGACATTCCTGGGCGCAATTGGCTGTCGTGTTTCGCCCACAAAATACACAGTCAATTCACTTTACAGCGTGTCCCGTGAAGCGCTTTGAGACGTCTCGAAGACGTGATAAGGCGCTGTATCAAATGCCAGGATTATTATTTATTATTCACTGCAAAGCTGAAAAAAAAAACCCTGCAGGATTCCAGGTTCCTGAGGCTATTTGCGTTGGTGCCAATGATCTGAATGAAAACAAAATCAAAGCTTAAGGTGGATTCTACTGAGAGCGACTGCGGTTCCTTGCAGCGAGCAAGGGGGNCACGCACAGACTTGTTACCAAACAGGAAGCCAGTTTTATCTGCCTGAACACGGAACGTGCAAGGTCTCTGGGTGTTCTGAAGTCGTCCCCAACACAGAAAACAAAAAAAGGATCATTAAAATAAAAAACACAAATCATCTCGAGGACCAAAAGCTGCAGCTGAAGACAGGAGAAACAATCTCATGACATAAACAAGTTGATGCTGATCAATCTCACTATCGTAAGTGGGTACGGGGGGAAAGCATCAAGCCTGGTAGCTTCTGGAAGGCTATCTTTGAAGCGTCTTTGTTTATTATTTTCTACAAGGGAATAGTTCAGATCGAAATAGCTTTGATGTGTTTCGGCCCCTTTGATCTTTCCTTTCTAGATTTTTTTTCTTCCAACTGGAATTATTGCTGTTTTTTTCCACCAAAGCAGCGCCATTGTGCAGCATTTTAATTGGATTTTTCTCTCTCTTCTTTTTTTTTTACTTTCTTCACCTGGGGCTTTCTTACCTTCTCGTAAAGAAATGAAAAAATCCGACCCTAACATTGGGAAGCAGAGAGAGCTCTCAAAACACTGTGCCAGCAGCTCGCTCACTGACCGTTGCGCTCGCATCACAAGCTCGTAGGTTTTTTGTTGGGGGGTGGGGTGGGGGTGGGGGGAAGGGGAGGGGAGGGGTGGGGGGAGTGGGTCAGACGCACGCGGGGAAACCCGTCACCATTGCTTCAGAGTCTCCAAACCAAGCTGAGATTTCACGCATCCCGTTTGCACAAGGAAATCCCAGGGATAGATTGTTGGACTGGAATGCGTTCTCTCGCTCTCGCTCTCTCTCTCTGTATCTCCCTGGAGGGACACACATCCTGCTTACCTAGTTCCAGAAAGTATTAGGTGCATTATTTTGACACGCGGCAGCCAATTGCGCACAGTTGACAAGTTACCAACATCGTGTGGCTCTTTCCCCTGCCTCCCCATCTCCCCACCCCCCGCCCCAGTCTCTCTGGGACACAGCTCTTTAAGCACATCGACAATGCCCTCCATGAATTCTCTTGCGCAACCTAGAAATTCAGGTGAGGAAGGGAGGAAGGGGCCTGTGTGGGAAGGCGATTGATTTTATATTAAAATAATAAAAACACTGTAAGTACATACTCGGCCTTCTTTCAGAATCAGAAGCGCAAAGCTTTAAACATATTGACAGGCAAAGGCTTTACGGTTCATCCATCCATCGAGCGAAAATCGATTAAACCTCAAAACGGTTTTGGAATAATTAATATCTTAATGGACATCTATCGAAGTGTTCCTTTAAAATCTATGTATAATACGATATAATATAATATAATATAATGCCGGTCCACGATGGAGGCTTTCTGATAGAACGGAGGATTGTAAGCAGTTGTTAGCCGCTGTGGAAATACAAGTAAAGAATGTGTATAAATCGCTCACACTGATAGTGCAGCCACAACAGTGCCTTTGTTTGGACCTGCCCCTGGGCGCTAAATTTCTATTAACCCTGACACATCGAACGACTTATCTGGTTCCCTGGTGACAGATGCTTGCCATCAGGGGTCTGTGCTCCTGACTCAGCCCTGCCTGTAGGACCCACGCCGGTTTTAATAAGAAAGTAATTGGTTTTAAAGGCCGGATTGAAAGCATTGACAGAGTGGCCGTCCGTCTTGGGGGCCGGAAAGGCCATTCGGATGATAGAGTGCGATAGCCACACAGCACAGAGAGGTTCATAAATACAAAAGGCTCCCTTTTCAGAGGGCTGCTATTGATAGAATGTGCCAGTCAATAAAAACTAATGGTGGCCACTGAAATAAAGAAGAGACACAGTGATCGATTGGGAATGGAAGTTCACACTCACATTAACTGCTCGGCCTCTGTTCCGCCACCCCTTTCCCTCCCCCCGCCCGCCCAGCGCCGTTCAAATCATAGAACAGGGAGGGAGCAATAGCTTTCTGAATAAACTAAAACTAAAACTCCACATCAACTCCTAGTGTACTTATAATAATAATATAATAATAATGCTTGCATTTGATATCGTGCCTTATCGCGTCATTGAAACCCACGTTTCGCCCATAAAATACACAGTCACTGCACTTTACGGTTTATCCCGTGAAGCGCTTTGAGGCGTCTCAAAGACGTGGATGATGCTCTGCGTCAAAGGGACAAGGGTTATTACTATTTACGGGACATGTTCAGGGCACTCGATAACCTGACTGGAGACTGCTCTGTGGGGCCGAAAAAATGCAGCCATCAAAAGTAATGCGATCAACCACCGAAAAAATGTCCAGCATAAATTCTAAAGAAGAACAGATAAAAGGCAATGATTTCCAGTCCGTAATCGAATCGAAAGCTTGGCTCGCGTGGTTTATGACATCATGTGAACCCCTCGATTAGATTACGGGCTTTCAGTTCGCTGGCTGCTATCCATTATTCCATAGGTACTTTATTCCAAAGAAACATCTGCTTGTCGTACAAACGCACCGGCTGAAAATTGTTCCCAACCCTGTTTTCCAATGGATTTCCAATAAAAACAAATTATCAAAGGGTGTCGATTCTCTGCCGGCGGGTTAGCCACAAAGGGGTTAAAAAAAATCAGCGTGTTATTTGTGTGGAGGCCTGGGAACACATCCGTACGTTGTCCACACATGTCTCGGAGCTTCTTGGAATTCTGTACCAAAAAAAAAATCTACAAAAAAGTTTAAAGCCGAAACGTCTTCGTTCTCCACCAGAATTCAGCAAAGGTTTTCCAACAAATGTGGCGATCTGATATCACAACAATAATAACGATAATAATCCCGGCATTTGACACAGCGCCTGATCACGTCTTCGAGACGTCTCAAAGCGCTCCACAGGATACGCTGTAAAGTGAACTGACTGTGTATTTTGCGGGAGAAACGCGGCAGCCAATTGCGCACAGCAGCGTCCCCACGAACAGCCGTGGATTGAGTGACCAAATTATTATTATTATTATTTTTTGTAGGGATTGTTACCCTTCAATTATTATTACATACACAGTAGCTTGTATATGTACCACACGTAAGAGATCATACAGTGTATTTTGCACGTGTCAGCCGGGCTCAGAGAGCTCACTCTTGTCTCCGAGTCAAGAGGTTGCGGGTTCAAGCTTCACGTTGGGACTTCGAGCTCACGGTCCAGGTCAACACAGTGTAGGGGAAACGCTGCATTTTCTGAGGTGTTGCCCTTCGGGTGAGAGGTCAAACCGAGTTCCTGGCAGTCCACTTGTTCGGGTGAACGTTAAAAATCGCAGGCCGCTACACGAAAGAGAAAAAGAAAGAGAAGTTTCACTCGCTGGACGTGAAGGCGGTGAAAAGAAGACCTCCCCCCCAAAAAAAAAATGTACCCTTTTTCAAAAATATACTAGAGGCTGGATAATATAAAGAGCACGACGAGAGGTTCTGGCAGGGAGTTGGAGGCAGTAATTCAGCTGTAACTGCCCTGCTGACGTTTATAAACTGATCGAGCTTCACTCTCGCAGTTCAGGGCATCATCGCAGCTGCTCAGTTGAATTACTGCCTTGAAGCTCGCTGGCAGCCGATCCATTATCCCACGTTTAGCCCACACCTAGGCAGGTCGGGCGAACAGGATAGAGGGGACATTTTACAACAGGCCGAGTTCAAGCCAGTAGCCCAAACGGGTCAACTATTTCATCTCACCGGTCAACAGTGTTTACCTACCCTGAGAACTTCCCGTCAGAAGCTCCCAGATTGGGCAACAGGGAAGCGGGCAAAGAAGCATTGCCACTCTGGATATCATCACTCACAGAGTCTAAAAATATTACTGAATAAGCCTAGAAGGGATGGAATAAGCCATTTGCCTTATTAGATCGTTGCATGCTGTTTAATATTCCTGGTGTAAATATGAAGCAGGTGCCTTCTCTAGACTTCTCCAGAAACGTCTAGAGTTCTAGGCTCAGAGAAGTTTTTTTCCTTTGTGTGCTGAAAAGATGCCAGTATCTAATTACCAGCAACTCTTTATATCTCACAGTCTAGGCTGACACTTAAGGGCAATACCGGGGGAGCAGAGGTGACATCCTTCCAGGCACCTTAAACTGATAAAAGACAAAATTACTGCCGAGGCTGGCAGCCTGAAATAGAAACAGAATTCGCTGGGAACACTTCAGCAGGTCTGGCAGCATCTATGGAGAGAGCGTTCCCAGCAACTTCTGTTTTTATACCTTAAACTGATATCCCGGCTACATTGTCAGGTTGAAGTTAAAGATCTCAAGTCATCGTTTGAAAACAGAAGGAAGATTCTCTTCTCAACTGTGAACCCGGTGAACAATCCTCCAGATAAAGTGGTTAACGGGATTTTACTGTCCATCTATCTGCTGCGCTCTCCCTACAAAGACACAGTCACTAGACTTGACAATAATTACAGGAAGCGCTTTGAGGCATATTTGTTTTTGAGTCAAACTCAATCACGGTTACGTGTCACCCTTTGGGTCACTAAGGTGAGGATTTAGGATTGTGTTGAGTCTTTAAGAGAGGAAATCTCACTGTGAAAACAATCACTGATGTTGATGATGAGAGTAAGACAGACCTCAATTATTCCATGGCTGGTTAGACCCATTCTCTACTGGTTTGGTGAATGGCACAGGGAGGTGAGGTGAAGGAGGGAAAAGAGTAAATACTTTACCAACTAAGAGATCGAATAACTATCCACTGATCTCCTTTTCTCAGGGTTATCAGACGTCTTTCTCCTTTGACTGTCTTGTTAATTCTCTAGTGCTAATCGCAGATATCCCAGCTGTAATGAGGTGTCCAGGAAGTTGCCTGCATCTTGATGCTTAACATTCTCCTGGGAGACATACCACAGGATTTCATTGTCAACCTCAACGGAACATGTACAGCCAGATTATGGGCTTAGTGCTAAAATGCTGCGGTGAAATATGCCATTTGAAATCGTCTGTCCCGTAATGACAGACACCATTAGCTGCAAACTCATTAATTAGTGAAGTCTGTTTTCAGATAATGTAATTATTGCAATAAGGTGATCAGTAGGTCTCTTCCTAATGATTATTATTCAAGATATTTAAAAAGACTAAGTACGAACAGACTAGATTAAAACTTGAACTCAAAGGACTACTGTTGGGGCACAGTGAGCATATATTGGTGTCCAACATCAACAGATTGTATTTATCCAGCGCCTTTCATGTCGGGAGGACGTCCCAAGATGGTGGACTCGCACTGAGCTGGGGGTTGGAATCGAGGTGTG